ATTAGTTCTGCAATTTCTTCTGTTTTATTTCCCAAATTGGCTGTGTTCAAAGTTCTGATTTTGTATTCTACTGTTCTGTCTCTTAGTCCTTTAACATTGCTGTAGTCATTTTTTTCATTTCCTGATAATCACCAGGACATTATCTCTCAGCCTGCTCCCATTCCTTCCCTAAGACACACAAATCTGAAGGTTAATTTTGATTGTTATAGCGTACCCACACAAATGGATCATGACAATCTCCATGGTACTGCTCTCTTCTTGTTCATTGTCCTCATCATCCTGTTGGGCTCTGATGCATCTTTGAGGATGGGCTCAGGGGCTTCCTGACATCCCTTGGTTGCACATAACTCAGGACATCAGTAGCATAGGGATTCCTCTCTCCTGTTGCTTCTGCTTTCTGACTCTCCCTTCTGTGTAGTAGAAGCTTCCTGCTTCTCAAGCTGCAACTCCTGCTAATGTCACTGCCCAGGGGTGCATTAATACTTCTGTATTAATCTGCATGGACACTTGTTTTAGGGATGTCCCCTTTGGATTTGCTCATCTCTGGGAAGGAGTGGGGCATGGAATTGAGCCAACCACAAGTCAACAGTGTTCAGCTTACCTTTCTAGGTGCTCCCCTCTTTTCCCTGCAGTACAGAACCTAGGGATGCAACTTGATGGTATATTCAGTCAGCTGGGCCACAGATGCAGGAGGAACAGTGTACACGATACAACTTCCCTTTTCCACATTGCAGTTTTGTGTTGCCCCTCTTTGTTGGCTATATTGCCACTTTCTCCTACTTTCTATACCTGTGTCATAATATGTGCACGGAACAGTTGTCTCATGCATACATTGTTGTGTCACCATTTTGAGAATGGGGCTTTAGGAGCACAGGGGCTGGAGATGTTTCCATATCAATCCATGTTTGTACCTAGGAGGTGTTGGGGATTTTGAAAGTACTTACAGCCTCCAGGGCTCACTAAGGAAACCCATCTAGGTTTGCGTGGAGAGAAAGGATGAAAGACAGGCTATCTCTGTCCTCTTTAGCCAGAGTAATAGTTGTTGTGGATGAAGGGAAAATCTGAGCTTGCCGACTGACAATATTTGGACTGTGAAACTCCCAGACGGTGACAGATGTCAGGTCCAATTAAGCCACTCGCATCTCGTTGGCAATCCAATGGGATCACCCATTGGGTAGCAACTTCGGAGGGAATCGTGTCGCCTCCCCTTTGCCGGCCCTTTACTGTGCCTTTATATCCAGCCACTTCTCCAGGATAAGCTCGGCGGAACCAAACGGCAATCCAGCCGCCTCTTGCTGCAGGCCGCTCCCCCCGGTTTTTCCATACCGCTGGCGAGGCTCGGCCCTTTGCTCGGGCTTCAAAGAGCGTCGGAGGATGTTGCAGATCGCATCTTGAAGGACCAGGGGAAGCAATCTAGTCTGGGTGCCTTTTATCTCCTCCCCGCTACCCCAAAGAGTCGAGATTGGAAGTGTAACGCGGGGCTGTTTCTGGGACCCGGACGCCGCCCGCCAAACCTGCGAGCCAAGAAGGTGCCCGCCGTTTGCACAAAAGCTTTGACTGCAACGGAGCGATTTGACTCCGCCACGGCGATTGAGCCGCAGACCGGGCCAGAAGACCGACTGGAAGGGCCCGGAGCTTCCCTTCTAGAAGCGCTGCGTCTCTTTTGTTATTTGTTGAGGTCCGACAGGAGGAGGCGGAGGCGGCGGCCGCGGCTTTCCAGCATAATTTTATCAGCACAATTTAGCGTGATATACTGTAGATCTGCAGAGGTTTGTTTTTCTCCCCACTCCCGGGGATCGTGTTTTTCTAGTGCATTTTAATTTCCACAGGAATCTTTTGGTCTTTTGACAATTACTCCATTTCTCGATCTGCGAGTTTTGAAAAGGATTCAGAACTATTTCTACCAATAGGACATTTTACTTTTTACTTATTTTATTATATGCGGATCCCTTCTTCTTCTTCTTCCTCTCCTCCTCCTCTAATTTATGTCTAGGATGTTCTCCTCCTCGTATTTTATTTCAGGCGCAAAAGGGGTTAGAAGCGTTTAAGGCAAGATTCTCCTACAAGGTAAATTTCCTTTAAAATATTAATATGTACGGGTAAAATAGGCGGCATTCCATCTAACAAACAAGAAAATGTTTTGTTTTGAGATAGATACAGATACAGACCTTAATGGAATCCATATTCCGTTCTTTGGTCTCGCACCTAAAGCAAAGTTATTAGAAATTTATTCTAAAAACAGAAGACAGAAGATTCCTTCCAAGCTAAAAAGTAGGCAAATTGGGTTTGGTTAGAACAATTTTCGCTGCAAATCTCCGCCGACCAATATTTTAAATGCAAATATTTAAAAGCTGACCATTCGAATTGGTTTTCCTCATTTAAGTACGTTCGTTCAAGTTGGAGTATTTTCCTTTCAAAGTTTTCCAATGAAGAGGAATGTTGTTTTGATCCGGATTTTCAAATTCCTGATTATTACTATGAACCTAAGCAGACGTTTCTTCAAAGGAAAAAAGATAGCAGCTTCAAAAGGGACACGTCTCCCCGTTCTCTTTCTCGTTCTTGTAGCGCTCCTGAGGTTGGACCATCCAGCGTCTACAGGAAAAGCTCACCGAAGCCGGGAAATCCAGTAAATCTATCGGGACTTCCTTCTAGTCCATTGTTTGCCAAATAATACTTATTAAGTTGGATAGCTTTTGTTTCTTCTCCCGCCCTGCTTTGCTTTTCAATAGGTTAAGTTTGCTCTTATTTCTTCCCCTTATTCACCACTTGCCGGTTAACAGATTTAGAAGGATTTATGTTGTATGCCTATCCTTTGACAATGAAAAGTCTTAAAGCAAAAATCTATATTTTCCAACTTGGATTTTCGATAGAGGTATCTTGAAACGGTTTCTTGCCATCTATTTCTCTATCATTAGTATCGTCATCGTTGTCATCATCATCATCATCATCATCACTACCTCCACTCTAATATCCCCAACATAAGACTCTCTGTTTCTAATCCCTTTCTTTTCTCTGTTTCTCCCCCTCGCTCTTGTCAGAGGTCCTTTCACCCACCCACCCCACCCGCTCTTACTCCTCCCCTCTTCCAACCCAGACACATAAGGGTGTCTCTGAGGTGGCTATTCTCTGTCTGTCGCAGCTGCATTGTTTTGGGCTTTGCCAGCCGGCAAAGCGTCTAAGTTCCCTGGCTTGGTTATGCTGACAGATGGAGCCCGCATCGAGCTATAAATCCCCCCAGCACCGCCCCAACCTTTGGGGACACTCTTGAGATTCGGCACTATGGTGCAAGGAGTGTTCAGGACCTTGCTCCCTGCCCACAGCCTGCCCATGAAGCGGTCGCTCTGGTCGACGGATATCCCCAGGCGAGCCGGCTGCCAAGCAGGCGCGACTGAAGCTGAAGAGACATTTGACCGGAAAGGAAACGCACGGCGCCCATCGGACAGGTCTTAGGCAGCAACGGGCCGCTGTCCATTTCCTGAAGGTCTCCGATGGGTAGCTTTAGAGCTAACACCTAGAGGGGCTCCACCTCCCAGTTCAGAAATTTTATTGAAGAACCATTAGGCGGGGTGGGGGTTGTTGAGTAGCCTCCTACGGACACTCTCAGATCTGTTACATCCCGTACGGTTCGGTCCCTGGCCGGAAACCTGTACGGTTCGGTCCCTGGCCAACGAGCAGAGAAACGAGAAGAGCTGCTCCAAACAGCCACATTCTGGAGACTGAGTCCTTGTTCTGTTGTCCGGTTGTTTTCACTTGCAGCTCAGAATTTGCTTTCTGGAGTCCCAGGAAGGGTCCTTAGGTCCCATCTCAAAGTTGGGCTCATGCTACTTGTGGAAGTGGCGCAAACAAGAACCAACCGGTAGCAGTTCTGACCCGTTCCTCCAAAGCCAGATCAGAAAGAACTCAAAACTGCTGAGGACCTTTGGGAAAACAACTGGTCAGGTCGATTGCTACACGGCCGGGCGCAGGAAAAATAAAAATCTGCTAATCCAGATAAGACTAGGTCGAAGGGCAGGATGTGTCGCTTTTGAATGGGGCTCCGCAAATTTTCTCGCGAGGAGTCAAGAAATACAGATGCAGTTTTCACAAGGGTCTCGCTGAAAAAAGCCCTCCGAGACAAGTCACTGCTGCTTTACTCTTTTCCAGGGAAAGCAATCAGGACTTTAAAAGGAAATCAGGAGCTGAATGTTGAGAACACCTTCTGGGGTCCTTTAGGAATGCCTAACATTGTGAACGGAAAGTAGTTATATTAATTACAACAGAAACAATACAGCGACGTACTGTCTTCTCAGATAAGAATAAAAGTTCATACAAAACACTTATGTTTTCCACTATATTTGCTCTCCAGTTGATCCAATCATTATCTAAGAATTATTAGATCGTAATATCTTTATTGAGAACCATTTTTTTTTAACCGAGAAGCTTTCTTACGAAAACGAAAAGCTTTTTTTAACGAAAGCTAGGATGTTATGGCGTTTCGAAGGAGAGCTGATAGCGGAATAAAAAGGAAACCGCCACGAGAACGGGGAGTCGCCGGACCGGCTGTGGCCGAGGTCCGCTCGGGAGGCCGCCTCTGCTTTTGCAAGGCCTCCCCTAAGTTAGCAGCCTCCCTCCCTGTCGCGCCACCCCAGTCAAGGAAGGCAGGCAGCCTCTTTTCACCCTCCACCTTGGTGGCGCAAGCGAGCCTCCCCGCGAGGCCTCCTTGCAGCAGCAGGTCCCTTCGTCGCGCAATGTCTTCAGCCCCGCCGGCTCGCGCATGCAAAGTAAGCGACAGGCACACACGATCAACCCGGCTCAGGCTGCCGCCGGGAGCTCCTGACGAAAGCTGCGCTCCCTTGGCTAGGGCAGGAAGGCAGGGGTGGCGGGGAAGGGCGCAAGCCGCTATGCTTTGGCTGGCTTCCCGCCTATCACGAGCCGGGCGGGGGAGAACATACAGCGGGCAGCACTGACTGACCTCCCTATTTGTTTTTGATTTTATTATTATTTGCCTCCTCGCCTGGCAGATGATGCTGAGCCCAGACCAAGCAGTGGACTCGGATCACCCGTCGTCAGCGCCGTCCGACCCGGAGTCTCTGGAGGCCAAGGGGCTGCGGAGTTGCTGCGCCTCCGACTTGGAGGCGCCGAACGGCGAGGGCGCAGGAGGAGGTCGCTCGGCGGCCCATCCGCCGCAGCCGCTGAGCCGTGAGGAGAAGCGGCGGCGCCGTCGAGCCACGGCCAAGTATCGGTCGGCCCACGCCACGCGGGAGCGCATCCGCGTGGAGGCTTTCAATTTGGCCTTTGCCGAGCTGCGCAAGCTGCTGCCCACGCTGCCCCCGGACAAGAAGCTCTCCAAGATCGAGATCCTGCGTTTGGCCATCTGCTACATATCCTATCTCAACCATGTCCTAGACGTGTAGGGCAGGCCCCGGGGACCAGGGCCCGCGGGGAAGGTCAACAGGCAAGGTGGACCCGGGTAGCGGGACGCGGTGAACAGGCCGCTGGGTCCCTCTGGAGCCGCCCGCCTCCGTTGGGGCTGGGCCTTGCAGGCGGCGCCCCCGGAGGCTCCCTGTCTCTGAGGGATGGGCGGCCTCGGCTCGCCGCTTCCTTCACCTTCCCTCCCCGCTCAGAGTTTCCCCGCGATAGGGTCCCCTTTCAGCAAAGTTTCGAGCACCCGGCGGAAGCTTGACTGGAGATCCCTTGGCTTTAAGCTCGTGCCTTAAAGGGCTTTCCTGACTCACGCCCGAAAAGAGAAACTTGAAATGGAAGTTTTCCCTCCGGGGGTTTGAATGGAGAGTTGACTTGTCCCCGGGCCGCCCAAAACAAGAGCACATCTTATGTGGAAGGTGGGCGTCTTTTCTAAACAAACACAGTGATAATACAGACTGTCAAGTGCCCCTTTCTTTGTATCCAAAAATAATAAAGATCTCATTTACTTGTGACCTTAATGTATGATACAGGAGTGCAGTTAAAAATAATTTATTTTTTAATTTAAGTAGCAAAAGTAGACTATTTTTCCCCAAGACAATTTTTTTAGTTTTTGAGGGTGGTTAAGATTTTGTGTTGAAGACTTTGTGCCAACTGGTTTTCGATAGTCAAGTGTTTACATTTTCTTCTTCTGTGAAATAAATGTCTGAATCTGGAAATGTTCATTGGAAACCAGATTGTGGTTTTCATTTTGCTCTGGTTTTATTGCACCAATGCCCTCTTTTTAAACGTATTTTATATATTTGGACTTGTCCTTGATAACTTTTTATTTATTTTGTGTGTGTGGAATCAAAATACTAGCAGTTCACTTGAAAATTTTATTTTCAAATAGAAATTAAAATGTTTGTTGTTCTGATCTGTAATTCTGTCTAAAGATGTATTTTGGAAATAACTTATGAGGGAATAGTTTTGTTTGTTTGTCTTTGTGTGTGTGTGTGTGTGTGTACACTACAAATTTTCTTTTCCATATTGAGGAAAAACAGGAGTACTTTCTTTTATGACAACCAAAAAAATTGCAAGCAGAAAATGTTAAGTGCTGTTTTGCTGTGAAACTCTTTAAAAGTATGTCTGGATCAAGGGAGAGAACATATCTGTTATCCAAAGATTTTAGTCTTTTTCAGGGTTTATTGGTGTGTATGTATGTGTGTGTGTGCACACGTATGTATGTTGCTTTGTATAAGGCAATATTTTGTAGTGCAAATAGAGAAATCTGATTTTTATCCAACTTTTTTTCATATCTCTCATGAATGGTATACTGTTTTGCATATAAATAAAACTATCCAACAAAGCTGACTTTCTTTCTTTTTTTCTGTTGTTAAGAAGAACAAAAAAGAAAAGGCAATGAATCTATTACATCTGGAGTTCAATCCAATATCACATAATACTTGATTGATGATGAATACATACATAGTTGATAGATAGGTCTGGTTCTCTCTCCCTCTCTCTCTCTCTCTCTCTCTCTCTCTCTCTCTCTGTGTGTGTGTGTGTGTGTGTGTGTGTGTGTGAGAGAGAGAGAGAGAGAGAGAGAGTTATATAATATACAAATGTTTCTTTTTTCTTCCTTCACTTAGAAATTAGGTTTCACTTCTATGGAAAGTATTTACTGAAGGCTATTAATATCTCTTCAATATACGGGGAGGGGGAAACCAACATAAAGCAATGTTGGCTTAGATGGGACATTTGGTCAATGCTCTTCAGATAAACCTGAATTCAACCTCTAAGGCTATGATGAATGAAATATCACCAAATAGTGATGATAAGCTTTTGGTTCTAATTTTATGACAAACACAAGTTCATTACATCTTTTAAGTACCAAGACTGTTTCTCACTAATCACATATAGCATCACCTACCAGTAATCACCATTGAAGAGATATGAAACCTGTTCTCATTGCTGTTATTTTGACACCGTGGATGGATGACTCTAAAAGATGGTATAGGTCACTAGTGGGGAAATAAGACTCTCCTCTCAATAACCTGAATTATATATGGGGATAATACTACTGTCATTTTAAATTATTAAAATAGGAAACAGTAGAGAATTGCACAACAAATCATTGCTTTTAAAGAGGAAATAACATAAAATGAAAAGAGACAAGGAAAAGGAATGGGATGGGATGGGATAGAATGCAGGGCCTCATGGCTGTGGGAATGTCCAGTCTTAGATATGGCAGAAAGATATGCAAGGATAATTAGCTCTGCCTCAATTATTGAGCACTATTTTGCCTTAATTATGGGCTGGTGAGTGGTGCTTACACAGTTATAGATTACAGATTAACAGAGTTGGAAGGGACTTCGTAAATCATCTAGTCCAATCCCCCACCCAAGCAGGAGACTCTACACCATTTCTGACAAATGGCAGTCCAATCTCTTCTTGAAAGCCTCCGGTGATGAAGCTCTCACAACTTCCAAAGACAAGCTGCTTCATTGGTTGATTGTTCTCACTGTCAGAAAATTTCTCCTTATTTCTAGGTTAAATCTCTTCTTGATCAGTGTCCATCCATTATTTCTTGTCGGGTGCCTTGGAAAATAGCTTGACCCCTTCCTCTCTGTGGCAGTCCCTCAAACATTGGAACACTGCTATCATGTCTCCCCTGGTCCTTCTCTTCACTAGACAAGTCATGCCCGGTTCCTGTAACTGTTCTTCATATGTTTTAGTCTCCAGTCCCTAATCATCCTGGTTGCTCTTCTCTGCACTTTTTCTAGAGCCTCAACATCTTTTTTATATTGTGACCAAAACTGGATGCAGTATTCTAGGTGTGGTCTAAGGCTTTATAGAATGGTATTAGTATCTCACTTGATCTTGATTGTATCCCTCTGTAAATGCAATTTAGGATTGTATTGGCTTTTTTTGGCTGCCGCTGCACACTGCTGGCTCATATTTAACTGGTTGTCCACTAAGACTCCAAGATCCCTCTTACAGTTACTGCTATTGAGCCTGGTTTCATCATTCATCTTTTCTCTACATTGAATTTCTTTTTGTTAGATACGGCCCAGTGTTCAAGTCTGTTAGGATCCATCTGGATCTTGAGCCTATTTTCTAGAGTGTTAGCTATTTGTGCCATCTTAGTATAATCATTTAATATGGGACAAATAAGAAAAATATCTGACAGATTGCCACAGCTCTGTTTTCCCTTCCAACAGGTCTCACTTGTAGGCAGGAAAAAATTGTGGTGTGAAGTAGAGTTGGGCAAGTATAGGCAGATGGCTGGACAAACAGTTCAGTAATCTTCCAAAGTGTACATAAAAACACATGAGAACAATGTGTCTGTCAGGTGCGCTATTTTTGCATATGAAGCAGCAATGGAATTCAAAGTGATAGATCATTGGAATGGAGCACCTCCATGGTTCCAGGATGTTACTGAATTAAATGGGGAAGCACATAGAACTCTTGTTAAGTTTATTTCTATAGAAAGAAGTGCAATGGAAGAAGCAAACTCTGGAATGGTTGCAATGATTTATAAAGGCTTACAAAGAATCAGGAGAGATTCAAGAGTAATACGTCAAGATGGAATGAATTGAGATTCCAAGTATAAAAGAATAATAGATTGATAAGACACAGGTAATCAATGAAATTGATGTGACACAGGTATCCCACACTATTGTGTTGCAAGAGGATGCGCTGTGCCACAGTTGGCAGAGCCAAAGAGCTACCGATTTATATTGACTGTTTCCTAGTATGATTTGATTGCTGATTGTACCCTATGTCTATCGTTAAGTGTTGTATGTTATGACTTTTGATTCTTAACTAATGTATCTTTTATGTATACTGAGTATTTACACCGAGACGAATTCCTTGTGTGTCCAATCACACTTGGCCAATAAAGTATTCTATTCTATTCTATTCTATTCTATTCTATTCTATTCTATTCTATTCTATTCTATTCTATTCTATTCTATTCTATTAAGTATAAGCAAAATGGTATTGGAATAGGCAAAAATCCTCTTCCTCCAAGTAATGAATTTTTTTTAAAAAAAACAGGAAAAAGTAGAGTTATGCAAAATTCCTTGTCAGCAAGCCAGTTAAAAACTCCATGCAGTATTCATTATGGTAGATTTAGAAGCACACAGCTTGTAGAGTTTGGCTATTTCCCAGACCTTCTGTGCAATACAGGACTAATATTATTACTGTTTTCAAACACAGGTCTAGCATGCTATCAAAAGAGCATTGCATTTATTTATACCAGAAGTTGTATGATACTTGATCAGCAAATGGCCTTGGAAAGCAATACCTGAAGAATGCAGGTGAGAGGGCATGCCCACAGCAGCTCAAAGTGCTCCATAGAAGCTGGATTAGTTCCAATCTGTGAATGCACCAGGAATCTTATTTAATTACTTGGGCTAGATTGTGTCCAGAGTGAAAATTGTTTGGGAGAAGAGAAAAAAAACCCCACTACTTTAAACCTGGAACCGCTAAGTTCAACTTCAAGCTCCCACTACTATGGACTGGATTTGAGAAAGAGGCAATAGACTTGTCATTTAAAAGTGGTTCAAAGATAATTTTTCTATCACAATTAAAGGGAAGTGAAATTAAACCTGCAGTCAATTTAGAATATGAGGGACAGAAAGAGAAGTTGCTTGGAATTAATGTCAAAAACAAGGAGCTGAAAACATAAATATTACAAAACAAAATATTGAAATGCATAAATTTCTTGAATTTATGATTAAGTAAGGAGAGCTTAAGGGAGAAAAGGTCAACCATCTTAAAATTAAACTAATAATAAATAGCTTGAAAATCATTGCCAATTATTTAAAAGATAAATCTGGCTTCGGGCTTGCTTGAAAGGTAAGAAGATTATAGGAAACAAATTCTGGATTTTCTTTTGTTTTATAGAATCGTAGGTCTGGGAAGGGACCTTAGAGATTTTCTAGTCCAACCTCCTGCTCAAGGCAGGAGTGCTTATACCATCCCAGTGAAATGGTTGGCCAGCCTA